ATATTGGGCAAAAATTGTCGAATAACGGTAATTTGGCAAATGAGCACGTGCCGCAAAGCGGCACGTGTAGCCAATCAATCATTTGTCGAATTACCGTATTCTACAATTTGCCCAATATTGGTGTTATCCGATAATTTATGTTTTTTTTTTGAATACCGGAATAAACATAATTACATCGTAACACTTGAAAAAAAATAACAAAAAGAAATTTTTTCATGATCATATGAGTTTGCCGGATAATATAGTGTTATTTGAATTATATAGAAATGGTTTTCTAAATTTAGTACTAAATTTTATTGTTGTACTTTACGTACGTACGGCGTACGTACTGAGCATTTATACATATCTGATTATGTTTGTAATTAGACTATGATAGATACCCCATTGAATAAATAAAATTCTTTTCTTAGTATATTGTTTATACTACGTACCTTCTATTTGAATGATATGTTTTTCCTATTTTAGAGGCTCATTCAACGTTCTTCTGAGATGATAACCGGTGGCGCCTCCTTTTCTTTTGTTTAATAATAAATATTTGGGATTATAATTTCGAAGTTTTTAAGGTAAAAATCGAGTGTTTAAATACTTTTTAAACAATAGATTTCGATAACCTTATTCTATTCGGACCCCCTCTTTTTGTAATTGACTAAAGATTCATCACTTTGCAATTTTAGCTTATTAACTTGAAGTCATGTCAAACAAAATATGTAAGTTTTTCAGTTAATAAAGTTTAATTACACAACATATTAACTTGTATAATATAGTAATTGAATATTCAGGGGAATTAAAGTCGTATTTGACTAAATACGAAATAAAAAATTTTGATTATTCACAATTTCAAAATATCCAAATTATTGGAAGTGGGGCATATGCAACAGTTTACTCGGCTACTTTTAAAGAAGATGAGTATGCATTAAAAAGCTTAAAAAACAACCTGGCATTGGATGAAAAAGCATTCAATCAATTGCAACGTGAAGTAATATTCGTTCCTTATTTGATATTTGTATTTTTATTATCCAAATTACTAAAATGCTATTTAATTAAATATACTTTAGCTTAAACTTCTTTATATGACTAATCATCCCAATGTTATAAAATTTCATGGAATCTCACAATGTATTGTAATGTTTAATTTTAACGTAAATGTAATTTTAAACAGCAATTCTTATTTCAAAATCTTTATAAATTTTAAAAATAGCGGATGATAATTTTATGTTGGTGTTGCAGCTTGCCACTGGTGGTAACCTACGGGATCATTTACAAACTAAGAAAGAAAAGAGTATTTATAAAATTTCATGGAAAAATCTCATTCAAATCGCGAAGGATATCACATTTGGATTGATGCATTTACACGAAAAAAACATCATTCATCGAGATTTGGTAAGTTAATTAGCATCTAATTCGTATCTAAATTGATTAATACAATATTATACAAAATTTCTTTAGCATGCAAAGAATATCCTAATAAATGACGGCAGAGCTTTTATTACTGACTTTGGAATATCAAAACAATTAAATGATGATACTACTAGTTCAAATATGTTAGGAATACCAGCATATTTTGAACCACAATGCTATCTCCAACGTAAAAAACCAGATCAAAAGTCTGACGTTTATAGTTTAGGTAACACTATCTTGGCAAAACATATCTTTAATATTATATATTTTTGATATTCTTTTAGGAGTTTTGCTTTGGGAACTCTCAAGTGGAGTTCGTCCATTTCAATATTTTTCAGATCTAGAAATAATATTATTAATTTCGGAAAAAAAAAAAAAAGAGAAAAAGCTATTGACAATACACCTCCAAATTACGCAACTCTCTACAAGAAATGCTGGTCTACTGATCCGGACAGACGCCCAACACTGGATCATATATTAAAGGAACTTGAGAAGTTATTAGTTGAACCAACCATTGAATTCATCACGAATAACACAAATCAAATAATTACACAGTCCGAATTATATCCTAGCGAAGACGATTATTTAAATGAATTTGAATATGATCGCTGTATTGAATGTGAAAATACAATCGACAGGTAGTTATAAATTTGCTCATTTATTTTTAAAATCATGCTTTTAGTGATTTCTTTTTTTAGTCAAACAACTCGTAAATATAAAGTTCATAATAAATTTTATATACTGTGAAGCTTTATAAGTGCATGTTATCGGAGAAAGCTGCACAAGTCTACTCCGATAGGATAACACACTTAATGTAACAATATTTTAGGGAACTGATATTTCCACACCCACGTAGGTCACTCATTTTCAAAAATTTAATCGAAGGCATTTCGACAATCACCTGATGAAATTCGATGAAAATTTTGTTTATTTAAATTCTATGAATTAGAATAAAGAAAAGTTCATCGAGTTTCATCAGATTATTGACAAGACATCTTCGATTAAAGTTTTGGAAAATTTTTAAACGTCTATCAAAATTTAAGTTTCTGTAAAATTTTTTATAATTTTAGTCAAAATTATCTCGACAACCACCTGACAATTCGATGAGCTATTTTTTATTTAAATCATAATTCACAGAAATCAAATAAAAAAAGTTCATCGGGCTTTATGAGATGGATTGAAATATCTTCGATGAAAGTTTTTAACGCTTGCCAAAACGTATGTTTTTTTGACAATCACCCGATGAAAGCCGATGAATTTTTTATTTGAATTCTATCGAGATACCTTTGATCAAAATTTTAAAAATGGGATCAATATGTGTCAAAAAAGGGATGTGGAAATATCATTTCCTTATTTTTATTGACAACACACATCTATAAGAGAAATATGCACTTTGAGATGATTTGTTGTAATTTATTTTTAATAGCCCTGAAAAACGTTATATGATGACTTTATAATTCCGTTAAGCAACTGTTGTTTTAACAATTAATATTTCTTTTTACTTATAGTCTTATTCTCAACGATATACCATTAAATGAACTTTCCTTTCGTATTAAGAAATCATTGCCTCAAAGTCTTGATGGTTTCACATCAATTTCTACAGAACAGCATAAGATAATAAAGCCTATCGAATTGACAAATGGAAATTTGGTAATAGAATGTCCCGTGCATTCAAGCTTATCAGCAAATGATACTCACGAAGGTTCAAAAGAATTTACACATATGAGATATACTGCCTGCACAAGCAAGCCAGACACTTTCAAGCAAGAAAATTTTACTCTCCGTCAATCTGAATGTATACCAAAGAGACAGACCGAACTATTTATCTTAATAACTATAAACGATGTAAGAAAGTTAAGATTATAAACTATAGTAGCAATTTTAATAAAAATGCCTTCAATATATTTTAATAGGAAAACGAAATTCTACTATCTAGCACTCTTCACGGAATTATAGAAAATATTACTTACTTTTGCTTTCTAACAGAGTCCCCGACATGGGTATGTAATTATTATTATAGTTTAAAAATTTTTTGATATTATCTAACCTCTTAAATTTAATTAGGACAAAGACGGATGGGAAAAGGTCGTCATATGTATAATTTCAGATCGTAATAAGATTAATAAACGGACTTTATCCTATTTAAAGGCTCTTGGCGTCTATCAGGATGGCATTGCAAGATCAAAAGTGAATAATAAAACTGTCAGGGCTCATATATATGAATATACAACTCAGATGTCAATTAAATGCTCTAAGAATTTCGTAGATAAGAAAAGAATTATTTCAGCTCAAATGCTCTTTTGTCTTAAAGAAAAGAACAAAGGAAAAATTGGTTCCCATAAGTGGTTTTTTAATGCCTTTTGTCCAATCCTTAGCCCAAAAATATTTGTTCTGATTAAAGTTGGTGGTGTCAAACCAGGTTAGAAAATAATTTCATACCTAGTGATTACTCGATCAGTGGCATTAATGGTTAAACCTATATAAATAAGGGTAATATGCATAATTTGCATGATCTATTAATTCAGGCTATTTATAGTAAAAAAAAAAATTGCCACTAACCGTCTAATCTATTGCAATCAAAGTATACGAACTATTTTCGGGATCATCCTATTTCCGTGAATTAACTTTCACCCATTTACCATGCAACAAATTAATTAATTTGTGCATAAAAATAGCTAAAGAAGTTTATTTTATGTACAAATTAATCAATTGGCCAGCATAATTTACGAAAATAGAATACCCTATGAAACAATTATGATTTTAAATTTTAATATTTACTTGCACATTTAATTCAAGTCGATGAATCTATTTATCATTTGTGGAAAGTATTTTCAAATGATCAAGTTGCGGGTACTTGTGGCAAATTATTAGTTAACAATAGAGGCTGGACCAAATTGTTAAATCCAATCGCTGGTGCCCTGGTTTTTGAGAATAAAATATCTAATATTATTAACAAACCATTCGAATCAATCTTTGGCTACATTTCCTCTTTATCTAAGGACTTCTCTGCATATCGATATTCTGCTTTTCAGAATATTACAAACGATACTGAAGATGCATCCAATAATAACATACTTGCTAAGAATGATTATCTTGCTAATAACAATGCCATTTGTTTTGAATTGATTTCTAAGCATAAATTTTCTTGGATATTGCAATATGAAAATTCATCCCAAGCTGAAGTAGATGTACCTAACAATTTTGCTTGAAATGATTCAGCAATATGTTTGCAAATTTAATGAATATTTTTACACTAGCTATTATGCGATAGCGCATTTCTTTTACATTTGGAGAAGTGGGCATTCAATTCTCCGTAAAATCTGTTTACAAATTGAAATTACATATCAAATTTTACATTTCCTTCTTTCATGGTTTGCTTTGGTAAATATAAGACCCAACTAGTATTTGTTTTATTAATTCGATGATTATATTAATTTATTGTTGTTTCTAGGGCATTTTCTGTTCAATTTTGTTTATTATTGCATTTATTTTACCAAGCCTTTCGTATAAAGATTATTATATTCCACTTAATTTGGATTCTACAACTGGTATCAATTTATTTTATATTTATATTGCAATTATTGGTATGCAATTTCTTTTTACATTTGTTAACAACCCTCGAATGTAAGTTTATTTTTTAAGATGCTATGTTGCTTTTATATTAATATATTTAAACTAATAATTTGTATTGTTGTTTAATAGTATTAAGGTGTGAATTTATTCCATTAATGTTTTCCATTATTATCTTTATTTATTTGTTGATCAATATTCTTTGGTTTATAATTTATGAGATTAGATTTAAATATTTTTATTACACTAATAATGACACTATAAGTTTTATTAAAGTCTTCTTTTAACTGTGTATATGATTACTAATCAAAATAACAATAATAATTTATACCAATTGATCTGTTACTAAAACGCACCTAATATCACCACCAAAATCATGTTGTAAAATTTCAATCCAAGTATAATAATAACAAAATCACGATATTTTCTAATTTATTATTATTACTATTACTATTATTATTATAATTAGAATTTACTTAATTACCACTGCAAATTCTAAGTCGAATTACGTTCAATTCAAATATTTAAATGCATTTACATTTAATCAAAAAAAATTTTTTTTAATACACGTATAAGCTTTAAATGCTACCAGTAAAAAATGTGTTTTTGCTACGAATGCTCCAAGTTTTTGGAAGCTTTTTTGCTCGTTCAAAATCTTTAATGTCATCCACTATTTTTTGGATAGGCTTAAAGTTTGATTCAATGCTTCGATGCCATTTTTTTTTTGTTTAGGAAGATTATTAGATTTTTCAAGACAATCGAGCGCTTAAAACATAAAATATATTTATATAAACATGAAAATATAGCGATAATAAAAAAAAAATCTTTATACCTCATGAAGAGTTTTTTTGTACTTTCTTAAAATTTCAGATTCGATTCCTCATTATATATGTTTTCATTTTCGGATTCACAAGATCAATCATTAAATTATCTTGTGCGTGATTGATTAAAGTTGGTCGAATATTTTCTCATAAAGTTTCATTAGCTTCCGAAATAAAAGGATACTGAGAATTTCGTTGCACCTAAATTAAAATAAGATTAAATTTAAATTTTTTTTAAAAAATATAAATAATATAATAACAGACCTTTTGAAAAAATGATGCATCCATCTTCCCAAGAGGATTAACAAGGTGTTTGCATAATAAAAATCTGTTTTTTTTTTATCCTTCTTTCAAGTTCACGGCGACAGTTACATTAATAGTAAACGAAGTAGTCTTGATTTGTTTATAAACGTATTTTTTATGGCATAACCTTCTCCTTTTTCGCAGATCTTTACGATCTCAAGTGTTAATGAACTTCTTCGGTGTTATTTACTTCTAATTAATTAATTATTCGATAGATATCCACAGCTATCTCAAGATTCATATACATTCAATTATTAAGTTTATTGTCGGAAAATAAATTTTAAACCCGCAATACAAGGTGGATTTCTAATCTCATAGGCAGACATTCGTATGATTGGCAGTTTAAATCAATTTCATTTTACATTATTTATACAGTTTAAAGTATTTTTTAAAAAAAAGAAAACTACTACTAATAAACAAAAAAGAAGTATATAGAAAGTTTTATTATGGTTGTAGGACTCTACTATTAAAAATAATCAAAATTCTTTTTTTTTTTAGAGAAGTTAGCATAATAACGACTTCTTAAAATTAGGTTATCACCGCGCTAACTTCTCTAAATAAAAAAGAATTTTGATTATTTTTAATAGCGGAGTCCTAGAACCCTAATAAAACTTTTTATATACTTATTTTTTGTTTATTAGTAGTAGGATTCTTTTTTTTAAAAGGTACTTTAAACTGTATAAATAATGTAAAATTAAATTGATTTAAACTGCCAATCATACGAATGTCTACCTATGAGTTCTAATCTTCAATTTATTATATCGGCGTCTATTCAATTTTCCTCAGGGCTTTTCTCCGGGTTTTTATTTTTTCAGATAGGTAATTTTATTTTTTTTTCTTTCGAATCTTTTATCGTCACTAATTATTGCTTTTGGTTCGTCGGCTCTTCAAACATTCTTTGCACTTTCAGCCAGGGTGATCAACTTAAAAATATGTTAACAGTACTTTGGGCTTGTTGCGTTGGCATTGGTCCAGAAGATCCAATTTTTTCCCTTAAGACTTTAACTGGGTGTTGTAACGATTTCATAGTCCAACCACAAAATTCACGTCTTTTTTTGAGTGGTAATTTTACCACTATTGCGCCATGAAAGTCTTTACTCTTTACTGTCTTTATGAGAGTCTTTACATTTCGTTTTCTCCGTGAAAGTTATCTCTCTTCCGAATATTATAAAAAATATGTTTTTTCTATTCATATTTTCCGTGAAAGTTTTATTATTCTTTATTTCTTGCTTTCTCCATAAAAGTCTTGAAAGTCATTACTCTTCACTTTCTTTTATGAAAGTCTTTACTTTTCACTTTCTTTGTGAAAGTTATCTCCGCTTCGTTGTGAAGTTTTTTTTTAGGAAGGTCTACAAATTCCGGAGAAAGAATTTATTACATCTTTCCGAAAATTGTAAAAGAAAAAATTAAAAGAAAAAATATATGTATCATCTCCATGAAAGTTTTGTTCTTTCTTTCTCCGTAAAAGTCTTTACTATTCGCTTTATTCGTGAAAGCCTTTACTCTCTACTTTCTCCGTGAAAGTCTTTACTCTTGGCTTTTTTGTAAAGTCTTCATAAAGTTTTTTTTTTATTTTTTTAGGAAGGTTTACAAGTTCTTTCCAAAATTATAAAAAAAAAGTACATTACTATCTACTCTTCGCCTTGATTTTAATCTTGGATTTTGTTGTAAAGACATTCAAAGATTTTTTTTTAAGGTCTTCAAATTCCTTCCAAAAAATAGAAAAAAAATACATCCCTTCTCCTAATAGCCTACTCTGTGCTTCTTTGTGAAAATCTTTACTCTTGGCTTCTGTTGTCTTGATTATTTTCATCGATATGAGGAATGGGAATTGAAAGGCATTCATTTATTATCAAAAAGAAGCAGTCACGACTATTTATTTCTTTAAGTATTTCTTAAAATTAACAGAAATGGATACTCCTAATAAAATCTATAAACCTGCTATTACTTACAAATATAAGGAGTTTGTGTAGAAGAAAATCATGACAATAAAATGCAAGTTAATTAGTTAGCTTTTACTATAATCTTTTTTTATCGATGTTTTCGATAAATGAATTTTGTAAATTTCACCCTGCATTGAAACAATGGTAATAAGGATCACATCAAATCTTTTCATTCGCATTAATCATTTAGATGAAAATTTTAAAATTACAGCAGATATGAAAATTAAGTGGACACCCCACATTTATTATCCATATCCCCCTAACAAACAAAAAACTTTAAGCAATGATATCTCGCCAACTACCTATTCAAATTCAATGAACATTTGGTGATAAACTAGATTCGCCACCTTAGCACAGCCGCAAAATCAAAAACACCGTTTTTCATCAATAAGAAAAAAACTCAAAACATACGTATCGGCAGATTTGCGGAATGGATCTAAATTAGGGTCCCTGGATCCCTGGATCCCTGGATTTAACAATTGAAGGATGCATGATAGCTGAAATATCGTGGTCGGAATCGCATTGATAAAATATATCAGCCACAATGATCTCTTTTATTTCAGTAAGTACAGTACATTCGTAAAATTTGTTTTTTCAACGAAACTTCCACCATGTGTTGCATTAACCGTCTTGTTCTTTGAATGTCTTCTATTTTTCTTTTGTAAATTGAAGACATAACCGAAATAATAAAATTTTTAAAATTTTTAGTTCGTTCATTATAAAAAGGTACCATTATAAAGAGAGTTTACCGTACCGTACTTAATAAGTAGCTTACAAAATTCAGTTTTAAAAGTGAAGCGTCTAAACATTGAGGATCACTACTTTTTAAGAAAATTTTTTTTCATTTGAAGAGTTTTTTTTTTTTTTTATAAACTATATCAGATATAGTACGTGTTTATTTGAGATTTATTATTATATTTATTAAAGCTAAAATTTCCTTTTACGCATATTATATTAAGAACTTTGATGGTCTGATCTGTAATAATTCTGAAATTATAATTTATAAACATTATAGAAGTAAGAATACGGGTATTTTTTGAATTCAAACCAATAATGTTAGAAGCTAAAGATTATGAAAAAATGAAGGGAAACGTGTTTTTTTGAAAATACTGTAGCAAGAACATGATTCGATAGAAATAACGGTAAAAGGTGTTTTTGTTTATTAAAATTTTATTGTTATATCAATAGAATTTTTAATTGGCACAAATAATTTGGACTGATTAATGTGCCACCAACCTGCACACATTCAAGAATTGCAATCTTAATCACATACTGGGTTACTGGAATAGCGAGTAAGCCCTATAACAATTTTTTTAGCAACTTATAATAGAAATCACAATAATTTCAATACAAACTGACTCAATCTTGACAATAAAGAAAAACAAGCAAGTTCTGAAGCAGAATTTTTTACAATAACTCATGGTAGAAATAATGACAATTACAACACAAGCTTAATTTCATTGAAATAACACTTAAGTTATATGACAGTGTTTTTTACAGTAACTCATAATAGAAATCGTGATTATTTCAATAAAAACTGTTAGTAAGTCGTATAGCAGAATATTTTACGGTAAATCACGATAAAAATTACGATCATTCCAATGTAGATGAACTCAATCACATACTGTGATTACTAGAATAGCAAGTAAGCTTTGGCCTGCGGGAGAACTTGGCTTTAAAGCTTAGCAAAAAAATAAAATAACCAAATTCAGGAAAAATAATACCAAAAATAGGAAAAGAAGACGAATATGAACTTTTGTATATACAGTAATTAATAACGGTTTTATTCACAAATTTTGAATTTCAGTCTATCAAGGTAATCTGTACCTTGCTTTATTCATTGAATGGTGCTTGGTTAGTTGTTCGATTTTCAGGTGTTTTGCGCGACTAAGTAAATAAATCTTTTCTACATGCCGGAGGCATGTGTTAATGCTAGTATTTTATTATTGCTTTAATATAACTTTTCAAATTAATATTAAGAAATTTATAGGACAATGTTGCTAAAAGGCTGTATATAATATGTGATGTTGTACAAACATTTCAAGCCTTTTTGGCCTGGGTATAGTTGTTAGACGAAACCTTTTTCGCGTAATGACGAAAGACGAAGCTAAAACTTAAAATGACGAAGTCCTATACTTAAAATGACGAAATCCTAATTAGAAGTTACTTGCACCTGCGAGTGGGTCAAGTGACTCGTGGGTTGATCTGTGAGTCAACAAGTGGGTTAACTGGTTCTATACTTTCGGTGTCATGCTAATTTTGTTACAGCAACTTTCTTAATTCCTGGAACACCTGATAAAAATTGGTTGAACGATTTTTCGGCCGATTCTATTAAGTCTATAATTTCAGCATAACGATAATAGATTCAAATTGATAGATATAATTTATTACAAGCCTTTAGTACGTACATTTTATGTCTATGGTTGAATACAGAAATATGATACTTTCAAAGCATCGTTATTGACATATATAGAAATTGAAAAAACATTAGAAACTATCTGTTCAAAAAAATTACTAACACTTAGGTGTTAGTAAATCTTCTAGAAATCGGGTTCTCAAGCACTTTAAAAGATATGAATTTATTGAAAACTTCCAGGAAAGCTAGGAAAGCTGTTAATAAGATGACTTAAAATTTCAACAAAAAAATATGACTGGCATTTTATGAGTTACAATTAGAAGTTTAGACGTAAAATTAGGTTGATAATTCTAATGGCTGTAAATCAAGTTTGGATATACAAATAAAAAGTGATATCATTTATATATATACACTATACTTGCACCAATGTAAAGTCTTTATTATTAAAAGTCTAATTTGTATCTAAGGCTTTTTTAATGATTCTTGCTAAGATTTTATTGGTTGTCTTTTCCTTAAAATTTCATAGAAACCAACCTCACCAAACATGATTTGAATGAAAATTTAATAATATTGACTATTATCACTATAAAGTTCATTATGGTACAAAAATAACTAGGTATACAGGCCAGGTTAAACGGATCACCCGATAGATCAACGCCCCTCAAAAAATTGTCCATCCCCTGTAATATTGACCAATCGAATTACTAAAATCGATAGACCCGGGTGACCCAGGTCATACTTTTATGCTATACGTGTCGATCTTCGTTAAAAGATCATAAGACTCCTCTCCCGGGATTTTCCGATTGTTTTGATGTTTTGATAAAGATCGACGCGACAAATCTACTTCATATAAATATCCAGCTTTACCAATATTGCAATAATATCTTACCATGTTTTTGAGCATGCATTCGAGTTTCTTAAAACGGAGTAGATTAATTAAATTGACAAGTCTTTACTCTTCAATTTTTTTATAAAAGTCTCTACTCTTCACTTTTTCATGAAAGTCTCTACTCTTCACTTTCTCCGTGAAAGTCTTTATTCTTCACTTTCTTTGTGAAAGTTTTTACTCTTCACTTTCTCTGCGAAAGGCTTTACTCTTCATTTTTTTTTTAATTTATAAGAAGGTCTACAAATTTTGGAGAAGGAATTTTTTATGTCTTCCTTCTAAAAAATAATAATAAATAAATAAAAAATTGCCTTTTTCAAAAGTCTCAACTCTTCACTTTCTTCATGAAAGTCACTACTCTTCACTTTCTTCGTGAAAGTCTTTACTCTTCACTTTCTCCATGAAAGTTTTTACTCGTCACTTTCTCCGTGAAAGTCTTTACTCTTCACTTTCTCCATGAAAGTCTTTACTCTTCACTTTCTCCGTGAAAGTCTTTACTCTTCATTTTTTTTTTTTTTAGAAAGGTCTACAAATTTCGGAGAAGAAATTTGTTATGTCTTCCTTCAGAAAAAAAAAAATTATTCACTTTCTTTGAAAGTCTCTACTCTTCACTTTCTTCATGAAAGTCTCTACTCTTCACTTTCTCCGTGAAAGTCTCTACTCTTCACTTTCTCTGTGAAAGTCTTTACTCTTCACTTTCTTCGCAAAAGTCTTTACTCTGTTTTTTTTTTTAAGTAAGGTCTACAAATTTCGGAGAAGGAATAACATAAAAAAAAATTTATTCACTTTCTTGAAAGTCTCTACTCTTCACTTTCTTCATGGAAGTCTCTACTCTTCACTTTCTCCGTGAAAGTCTTTGCTCTTCACTTTCTCCATGAAAGTCTTTACTCTTGGCTTTCTCCACGAAAGTCTTTACTCTTGGCTTTGTTGTAAAGCGCCACGGGTAAAATGACATAAGCTTCATTAGTCTTTTTTTAAAGTTATAAAAGGATGTAACTTGATTAAGGTTGGTTACGACACTTATGTGCGAGGAAGGGGCACATAAGCTCACTAATTCAATAATATTCCCCTTACATTAACTTGTTCAACACGTACAGTATTAGTCTGATATCTTGACATCCTCCTCAATGACATGTCATCACAATTCTATTGGTATGATTAATTTAATCGACATTAACTAAAGCATCAAGTAGGCATTTGATTTTTTGCTTTCTCCGTTAGGTTCAATTTATCAAAATCCAGACATTTGAGGGAGATATTCCAGTAAAGGATACGAGAATTCTAGGTTAGTAAAGATTGTTATTACTAATCTCTAACAAGAAAAAAATGTCAAGAAGGAATTATAAATAAAGCAAAGGTCTAAAGTCGAAAAAGTATCTGAAATAATGACTGACGATGGAATGAATAATGATGTTGATGGTTACTATTATGGGATTGGAGTCAATAAGGATGTACATAAAACGTTCATTTACAATCGAAAAGTTGCGAAAAGGATCGGAATAACATGATACGGATGAAGTTTGGAATGGTTTTATTTTTCATCTAACTTTCAAATTTTTTTTCTTTAAAAAAAAATACAAACTTAATGTAAATTAACCTCACTGAATTATACCGCCAATGCGTCGATAAATACTTAAAAAACGGTAAGGAATATATAATAATTAATGGAGAGGAATCCGATAATGAAAAAGTAAATAAATACATTAAAAAATTCAAGGTCATGCAGTAATATTCGGCTAGAAGCATCAGAATATATGGATGCATATTTTAAAAACTGGGTCTAATCAATTTTAACATGTAAAAAATAAGCCGATTGCAAACTCTATTAGAAAGTGCGAAATGTCAAATTTGAAGATAATTTTCTGGATCAATGATAAAGGAATATTACGCGGTTAGAAAAACAAATTTTGAAGGGTTATTGTTGCTGATTGAAAAGTATAGTATATTTTTAATAAACAAAGTATTTTAATTCATAATGTTTATTAAATCATTACACCATAATATTTATTTTATTCTGTTAATTTAATTGCAAGAATGGAGATCTTCTATCAAAATGGCTATTTGAACAATTTGGCACATACATGCATAATCGTGCGAAGTATCGCACGTCACGCAGCTATACTAATTAAATATTAACAGTCAAATGATGTGTACTGTATGTCACTAGAAACCCTTCAATTATTTTTTTTCACAAATCAAATCAACAAAAATCTGCTAATCGGTTAACACCCTTTAAATTTTGGAGTACGAACGAAATTAGCCGTAAATAATCTTTAAATAAAGGATTTTAGAGCCCATCTAAGAATGCCTACCTTTGTGAAAGGCAAAACCTCTATAAACTTTAACAACGTGCGCTTATAAACAAAAGAAATAGAAGTTAAACATTCCGGGTTGTTTAAAAGTCCTTAAACAGGACACTCTTTTACCTTCTACGCTAATATTAAACATTGCTTATAAATTTATATATCCAAGTAAGTGAAAAGTTCTTAGATATAAACTTTCAGTTAATCACTAAATGACGTATTACAAATACAATGTAGGTTTTTAAAAAACTTTTATTATTAGCAAGATAGCAAAAAGTCCTGTTTAGGGGCTTTTAACCAACCCGGTATATGCGCATCTAGAGAGTGTGTGTACTTACAGAGGGAGCACTTTATGGAGGTTTTACTGTAAAATACTCTTTAGGTAAAACACCAGAATGTTGTCATGACAATTTCAATTAAAATTTTAGTTACACTAATGCAACATTATCTACCTAAATAAATAATGCCAAATAAAAAAATTACGCTAACTTGCTATACTACCGACATTAAATTCTTGTCTGTGATTATAAAACTCATCTGAATATGGATAATATGCACATTAGAGGGGTTTCAAAGTTAAAATCAGAGAACCTTACTTTATTTTTCCGATTTATATTTCAGCATAATGAAAATACTATTGAAAAAATCCTATTTATTTTCGAATTTCGTTATTTATTTGTTAGCTTTGAAACCCCCAATTAGGGTGATTCAAACATAATGCTCAGGGTTTCTGATTTCGAATTAAATTAGTGATGTAATTATTTTGAAATCAATAATCTTAAATTTTATTTATTTTGATTTATAAGCTTATTTTTAGAAGAATATTATAATAGAACTCATAAAAAAACAATTGATATTTATAAGGTTTCTCCGAATAATACTTATTTCATTTTCAGAAATAGGACTTTTTAAACCCCATTTAAGTTAACTTTGAATCACCCTATTGTATTGTAACGAAGACAACACAAATGAAGCATGCGTCTGTTATGTGGATTTACTAATTTCTCCCCACTTCTCATTGGACAAAAGCAATTACATAACTCTAATGCAATTAAAGAATAAATTGCTTCTCAAATATTATTTTCGCACGATTACATATTGATTAAACCTTTTTTTAAACCTAATTCTTTCACTGTTTAATACCAACGTTTTGCTCTTTTGAGTTTTAGCACTTTCAATTTTTTTGTTAATAAATAATTTCGTGTGAACGATTAAATAAATTTATAGTATTATGTGCTACTGTATACGAAATCTGAAGACAAAACGAAGTATTGGTTTTTTTTTGTAAGTGTATGAAAATTTATTAGCGCCTCCACAAGTTTTAATCCGCTTCTGTCAAGAACTTAATTTAAATATTCCAAAATAATAGAATGCGAAAAATTCTCTTAAAGATTAGACAACCTTTAAATATTGCGAATCAATAATTAAAGAAATTTATCAATTACAACCTGTAATTTCAAATCTGGAAGAAGATGGGATTGGTGGGTACAGTAAGTTCGGCCTGCAAATACGGAAATTTTCATACTAATAGGATTATGTTTAAGCGCTTTGATGTGTGAAATGAACAACTAAAATTTAATCCAATAGATTTTATTAAAAAATGATGATTTAGTGAATTATGAAGAGAATGAAGTAAGATTGTATGATGGAAAAATTTATTTGCAATGTTTGGAAGAGGATTACGAATTGCCCTGTAAGAAATTGTTATGATTTATAGAAAGTATGGTGTTGAATTAATTGATATTAATGCACCTCTTAAGTTTAAATATAATCTTTTAATACTTGCGAAGAGTTATCGTTATTATTTAAGTTAAATTGAGACCTACATCGTATATAAATATAGTAATTTGTTATTAAACATCTTTTGGTTATTCAAAATTTATTATACGTAATATACCGTATAATTAATTTTAACTTTCTAAATAAAGTATTTATAATAAAATCAAGAAAATAACTATAAATACAATATTGAGAATTTAGACTAGTGTTGCAGTAGAATCGTTCTAATGATTGCCGTAACTATAGTAAATAATATAGTAAGTTAAGGCATTATAGTAGTAATTTACTATATTACTTACTATAATTACGGCAAGTTACGACAACACTAATTTAGACAGAAATGTAAATATAGATATTAGGGGGTTTCAGAGTTAACGTTCAGGTTACTGATTTCGAATTAAATTAGTGACGGATTTATTTCGAAATCAGTGATCTATAAATATTATTTATTTTTATTTGTAAACCTATTTATTTAATAATTAATATTTTTACAATCGTAAATTTTCTTTAGGATAAAAAAAACCGATTACTTATTTTATCTCCGGGTAACTATTTCATTTTCTCATTTCGAAATTTCAAAACAAAAATAGAACCTTTCAAACTCCCACTTATTTTCAAAAAATTTTGGACTTAAAATATGCAACACCTAATACGTATAATAACCAAAATAAAAGCCCACTATACTCTTGAAAATGAATTCTTTCAATTCATTAAAAAATCAAATTCTAGGCACATTATAAATATAAAAAGTCTTGGTACGCGACGTAGTCTATAGTTACGGGATCTTCACGCGACTGGGATCGGGTCTCTGGCAAAAGAGGCATCCGGAGATGGCTGGTAGTTGGATAATAAGTTGTTAGCTTTTATTAGTTGAGATATACAAATGTTGCAGTTGTTTAAAATTTTTTCTTAAACCTGACACGGGTTATAATAGTGTACTTTCCCCTTT